TTTCATAACGATCGGCCGACTTTATCTTATAGCTGACATATAACTGAACGATCGGAAATGGTTTTTGGTAGAAATATCAACTTTGGTATTTTTGAAGATAGAAGTTTGGGACTTTTTATAGATTTTGTATTATAATAAATTGGGTTATATTATCATATTCTCATAAGGATCGGCTAACTATATCCGATGTTTGCGATATATATCCGGTTTTAACTGCAGGGGTATATAAACTTCGGCTCCGCCCGATAGGAAACAGGTCAGGAAAATATAAGACGAGCCAGTTAAAATTTTCACCGCAATGAACTCAATTCCGAACTCATTCGGGAAAGGAATAAGTTCAGCAGGGTACTCATTACTAGCGGCAATGAGCGACACCACCTGCAAAAGTTGGACGATCCAATCGAAACACAGTGAATTTGGAAACAAGAATTTTATAATCAGAGACAGAGGAGTTAAGCCAAGATTCAGTAAGCACGATAGCATCAAATGTTTGGTAAAATGTTCAAATCTTGGCCGGTAAAATGTTTGGTGTTAAAAATTCATCGACTCATACAACATGGGGTGTAGGGGTATTCAATAATTTAGCAGTCAGAAGGTTGTTGTTCGGAATTTTTCGTCTGGGAGATTCGTTTAACAACTTTAGACCAAGGAATTGGGGTTCAAGAGCGAGGAATTGCTTATTTAGGGCCGAGAATTGCTTGCGAACATCAAGAAAACCATTTCTCGTCTGTTTCATAAAAGTCCGCATCTCTGACTCGATTTCTCTGCAAGCGATGCAAGACCTCGTCAGGCCAATTTTCTTGTTATAAGTTCACATATCCGTCCATTGTGTCCTCCGCCAGCACATTTAATATTTGAGCAGTTGTTGCAGACCCAACAAGATAGGTATGAGTCACCCGTGATGGATCCACCGAATTTACATTTTTTTGCTGTGCAAATTAGACTCATTGTTGACGGATTGCAGACCACTGTAGTAGTGTAAAGAATTTAGGCTCTCTGAAGCACTCTGTAGGTAAAGTGGTCGATCAGATCAGATGTAAGAGACGACGCTACAAAAGAGATGTGCAACGAAGAACAACAAACTCCACAGTAACTATGATGTAACGGGTTACGTCCAGAGAGTACAGCTAGGAGAGACTTATGTTGGAGAATATAGTTAAAGCGCAACAGAGATAGCTTTAAACGATTAAATGTATAAGGAGGAAATAAATAGTTCAATGAATTTATTAAGTCAAATTTATTTTTAGAATTAATCGTTATATTTCCACTTGTCGCGAAAGGAGAAAGCTTTAATTCTAAGATCGAAGATAAATGCAAACTGGCAAGAGCGTTCGAAGAAACACGTCCGGGTACGGCAAAGTGAATATAAAGAATGGAATTAAATTAAGCTGATCGATGCCATTCGGTGGGAACGGAAGCTGATGTCTACTTTTAATTTCAATTTTTTTATGGGAAACCGAGATCGGACCTAAAAGCCAAAGGCAAATGCAAAAATATTGTTTATAAAAGCCATAAGTGGCCTGGATTTACGGGTTGGATAACTTGCACCCGTGTATGTGAATCTGTGACACGCATACATACAACGATCAATCCAAGTGCAGACCAACCTTCTTCATCGCGCTCCTTTCGCGTAAGAAAGAAAGTAAGAACTCGCTCTGGGGCCTGTCGCAAGAAATTTTTGCGTCCATTTTCGTTGTATGAAATGGATTGTCTATATGCTGTATGGTTATTGCTATTATTTAATTAATGGAGAAATAGCCTAAAATAAAAATTATAAATTAACAATTTAAAATTGTGGATTGTGTTACAATATTTTGCCTATTTCATTAATTTGAAACTCAGCTATTTTTGCTGAAGCTGTGGTGGTGTTATGTAAAGTCAACATTTTATAGAGTAGTTCATGACCTAATATTTTTTTTATTGATTATAATATTTTATAATTTAATATTAAAGGCTATGACTTAACAACCTAGATGTCGACATGCACCTTATTGACCAGCTGGAGAAGTTCTAATGCAAGTTTCTCCCAATTGTACTAAAATAAGGCGCTTGCGCTGGAAAAAAATAAAAATTGCGCATGTGAAATTTCTCCTATTTCTCCTCCTCCCATCTAGTTTTAGTAATAAAGATGAGCTCGCAGGCTTTGTTACTTATTATGAGCCAGAAAATATGATTAGAATCGAAGAAAAACTGGGGGCAGTAGAACCTTTCTTACACTGGTGGAGGCTTATTGCCACAATCGGCAGAACCATTTTTCTCTACCTCTATATCTGAGCCTAGGATCATATCGTCGTCCATACTAACACAAGTGTTCTGTCGAGTTTGTTTTTCTTAGAGGCATACCCTTCCAAGATGTCCTCCTCCTCTTCTAATCGGGCATCTAATCATAATGAAATCTAATCGGGGCAGACTTCGGTCAGCTCCTATTTCAGCTTCATATCAGCTGAAACCTGTCTCTTGACGTCCGCCTTGTAGAAGCGTACCGCCAAGTGCTCCAGGACGTACTTGATTCGCCCACCGCTGGACGCCAGATGCTTCACCGTCTCCTCGTTGAGATTGAGGATAACCTGCCTACATAGCCCCTCCGCCTCCTCTACCTTGGCGGCTTTCCAGTCCGCAGTTGGCAGGGAGGAGTAACACGTCATTAACAAGAAAACCGATCTAAGGTCCTGGCAAGCGATTCGCTTACTATAATTATTGACAAATCAATTGTTATTCTTGGCAGAAATTGCTTTTGAAATAAGGCCTACATTATTCAAGGCCGTCAGAAAATATCTCTACATCATAACTTTGCTTTGCTCATCTTCTAACTCGAAAACTTCAATTATTAAAGCCTAATCTCAGCAACAATCTTGTAGTGCTCTTCTACACTTATCTGTACTCTTGTACTTTCCCCGCGGTTTTAGCCGCGCAAAAAAGAATCGCAGAAAATGTAGCCCGACCGCCAATATCCCAAAAGTCTTTACAGAGCTATGGATTTCTCTGGCCCTTTTCCATCTAATCATTGCATTGTAAAATGCAAAAGGATACACCTGCCCGCAAAGGTCGATCTTTCGGATTTGCCAATAATATTTTTAGCCAACTCCCACAAAGACATAGAAACCTCTCGCCAGTACCACTCAGACCTGAAACACGCATGAATCATCGGTTAGACCCGGTGATCAGCCTTGAATCGGGCTTGTTTGCTAGAACCAGCGGCATTGATCTTTGTACTAACATTTTTGAAACTGTCCTCTCGGCCCTGAATTCATTTTCAGGCCTGAATCAGCCCTGAATTCAGGAGTGACAATATTTTCTTGAGAGCTTGGAAAAGACGGCTGAATCAGGAATTGCGCGCAAAAATTGTAATTTGCCTAGAAAACTTTTGTGATATGTATTAAGGGGTTATATACCTTTTTGAGCAAAAAAATTGAGGGAACTTTGGATTTTTTTTTCAGTTGTGTAGCAATTATTTTATGACACTGAAGTTATTTTTTATTGATAGTACATGTTTTTATCGAAACAACAAGAGTTTGTTCTTGAAAAAATATAAACAATTTACAAAGTTATGGCAATTCTTTCGGAAACCTTTTTTTTATAGCGGCTTGCGGTGACCACGATAGAAGTCCAGCAGGTCAACCGAAATCAAAAAACCAAAAATTTTTTATTAGTACAGTATTATTTCCAGTTCGTGAACGATTATTTTTTAAGAATATTTGGTTTTTTCTGCATACAGTAAACATTTTTCCAAAAAGTTGAGTTGATTGAGTTCTAAAAATCTTATTAAAAAATTTTTATCTGCGAAATCAAAATAAGCGCAAAAAAACTGAATCGTTCACGAACTCGGCACAATCATTACGAATAATTTAAATAAAATTAAAGAAGATCGATCAAATAGTTCTTGTGCAATCGTGGTCACAGCGAAGGCACTTTTGGAAAAACACGACTTTGAGATAATCGCATTCAAAGTTGCTTGACGCTGTCCGCAGCCGTGACGAACCGTGCCTCAAAACGCTGTTTTCCTATCGAACTATTATTCGGATCTCTATGAAAATTTGGGAAAATATTCTCTAGGGGATATACTACAGGATTCAGCAAAAAAAAATTTTTCGTTTTTTTGAAGAAATAAAAGGTATATAACCCCTTAAATATCGAATAAGCATAACTTAGTTATTTAGTAGCGACAGGGGGCCGGCAGAATTGGTGCGCATACTTTCTTTAGGTATCATTTTGGTATGATAGGTATTTTGGTTAGGTATCAAAAGGTTGACTCATGAATTTCGGTAATTTAATACAGATGAAGAAAATTTTAACGATTTTGGAATTGGCACTTTTGAAAAACAAATTTAAAAAAACAACTAGAAAAATAATAACAATTCAAATGCCAAGTGAAAATTTGTAGTTGTAATAAAAGTTGTTTTCCAAAAATGTTGTATATTTTTTTACACCACGACAATATTTATGTTTACTGGACAATACTATTTTGATGCCAATTTCATGGCAGGTAAATTTCATGCCAATTTTCATATTGCGCAAATTTGAACAGAAATCAAATTGACCTTCCTTCTATGGTAAAGCCTAGTACTGAGTTGACGAAAATCCGCTCTTGAAATTCCGCTTGTGAAATTGCACTTTATTCAGCTACCGAGCTAGTGTGACCAAAAAAATTAAGAAAAAGGGTAATACTGAACAGCTGTTGTTTGTAAACAAAAAAACAATAAGCAAATATGAATTCAAATCAATTGGATGTTGGTGTTTTGTTTATGTATTTCGCCGCTAAGGAGCTGATTAAGAAATAGAAAACTGGGTCAAAATCAAAATCAAAATCAATCACAAATCATTTCAATGACATTTTATGGCATTAAATGCCCCTTGTGGGTCAAATCCCATATTACGGGCTTCGCCTTGACCGCACAAATTAATTTCAATTTATCCTCGCGCGCCAAAAATTTTTCGGTCCGACAATTTTTTTCTTTCAAATTTTCGCTCAAAAATGAGGAAAAAAGTTCAAGCAGGAGAGGCGGTCACACAAAGAATTGATTGACGTCGAAGTTATCTTAACTGTGTCAGAATATACTGTATATTAAAATAAAATATTTATTTTAAAATTTATATTACACATAATATTAAGATGGGAAGAAGAAAGTCGAAACGAAAGCCACCTCCAAAACGGAAAAACATTGAACCTCTTGATCAACAATTTAATTGTCCATTTTGTAACCATGAGAAGTCGTGTGAAGTTAAAATGTAAACCTTGATTGGTATCCTTAAAAAATCCAAATAAAATGTCGATATTGTTGCAGGGATAAAGGAAGGAATACTGCAAAAATTACCTGTCGTGTCTGTTTGGAAGATTTTCAAACTGGAATCAATTTTCTTTCAGAACCTATTGATGTCTACAACGATTGGGTGGATGCCTGCGAAACTGCCAATTAAACTTACATACATACATACATTCATTTTAAAAACATTATCTACATTTAAATTAAGTAGAAAAAGTAATATAGAATTTTATAAATATGGATAAGTCTTAAAATTATTTTGAATGTGTTTCATGTAAATTAATGTGAATGTGAATTTGCTGCGCTGTAATGATGTACATAATCACATTATCACCTCTCCGAGGTGTGTAATTATGTTTGAAACCTTGTAGGGTGTAGTTGTAGGGTTTCCGGGCTTCTCTACGGACCACTTCTGGGTCAAAAGCAATTTCTTTTTTGTCCGAAAAGCAAAAAAGATTCAATGGGATCCGAAAAACGAAAATATGTTCATATTCGAAAGTGTCTGGGGTTGTCTATACTTTACGAAAGCACGCTATTTTTTACACATGTGATTTATAAGGTTTTCATAGATGTATGTACATACATACATATGTATAACCAAAGATTATAAACCCAGCATGCAATATGAGCATTTTCGGAGCCTTTTTTGAACTTTTATTTTGGGTAAAAACACCCATAAAGGCTTCCGGAAAGAGCGTTTTTCCCCTTGAAAATGGTCCTTCATAAGGATAGTAATTTGAGAGTCCGATAAGTGCTCTTTTTTGACTCCTAAATAGGTGCTTTCACCCTCCGAATAAAGCAGTGAAAGCCCTCAGAAAACGCACATAAAAGTAGCCTTTCCAGACAACTAAATCCCCTTTTTAGGTGCGTTTTAAACAGCACAAAAAGACACTTTTAGGTGCGTTTTTCAGGCACTTAAATCGCCCCAAAAAGTTACTTTTTTACACATTTGGATTTCATTTTTATTCATTTACTTATTTATTATTTAAATTGTATAAATTAAACATTATAGCATTCAATATAAACTTAAACATTAAACATACTTCATAAATTTTTTCCATTATATTCATTTTTGTTTCATTTTCAGCTTTTTATCTTATTTTTATAAAAAATTTACTTGTTATTTACTTTATTTACTGACTTATTATAATATTTAACTCTATCCGAAGCAGTCTGGAACCACTTGCCGCATATTGTTGGAAATATTTTATCATCGACCGAAAATTTTTTATTGAAAGCTCCTGGAATAAAAGAAAAACAAATATTAATTAAATTGGTTAATGAAAGGTATTTAAAATACAATAATTACCTTTAATTGTTGTTGTTAATGTCATATTAAAAGAAACTGCCCAGCTCGATAATTCCTCACGCAACGATTTTTTATTACACCCTTACAATAAAAAATCGTTTTTATTACAATATTACAATATTATTATTTATTTTTTATTTTATTACATAATTTTTTTATGACTATAGTTAAATAGTCATCATCACTTTCTATACAATTTTGGTTAATATAATTATCTGGATGTTTGGTTATGTTTATTATGTTAATGTTTATTTCCTTCGCTGAGCATCACTGACGGTGGAGACTCACAGCGGCGTCGCTTAGCTCTAAGAGCATTATTTATTTTTTTCGACTCATTTCGGCTTGATCTTCGATCACTCATTTTTATTATTTGTATGTCTATATATTTATAAAGATATTTACGTTTATTTTTTTAGAATTTCAATTTAACTTGCACTTTACGTGTTAAACCGCCCGACTTTCAGTTTCGTAATGAGCAAACTGAAAATTTTCTAGCATTTTCTTGTCGCAAGAGTCTGCAGTCCGTTATTCTAATCGAGCCCTTTACTTTGTGTTTACTTTCCATTAGCTCCCAAAACGCTCCGAAATCCCTCTAAAATTTGTGTTAACTCAAAAAACGCTCCTAAAACGCTCTGAAATATGTGTTTACTCCGAAAACGCTCCGAAGCAGGGCTCTTTTCAGACACCTAATTCGGAGCGCTCCTAACTTTGCATGCTGGGACATAGATGGGACATCTCATACAAAGAAAAATGTACTATGGTGGGCTCCACTGCGCGACAAGTTAGGTTTGAGAAATTTTTCGCGCGACAACGAATGAGGGATAGCCGAGTGGTAGAGTGACTGATATGCAAAGTAAAACGAGTTCAAAGTAGGCTCGGAATATCCATTTTTTTTTAATTTTAAATCTATTTATATTATATTTTTTTTATTCTTTTAATGTGTCGGGTCAGGCAGCAGCCCACCGGTGTAATTTGAATGTTTAAATATGTTAACGTAATGTTTAGTAATGTTTATTTATTAGGCTTAAGGGGTTATATACCTTCTTTGTCGAAGAAAATGAGCAAAGTTCGGATTTTTTTTTAGGTATGTAGCAATTATTTAATTACACGGATGTTTTAATTTTTTGATAGTACACTTTATTAACAATGTTTGTGCAAAATTTGGTGGAAAAATATTAAATAGTTTTTAAGGGGTGGCTGTTTCCCTTAGAGGCCTTTTTTTTTTTAGAGCCTTGCGGTGACAGTTCCCCAGGTCAAACAGGTCAACTTAAACCATAAAATCAAAAATATTTCATTAGTTTAGAGTAATCTCTTGTGCTTGAACGATCGATTTTAAAATTTTTTGTTTTTGTTTGGATATGGCAGCGTTTTATGCTAAAAATGAACGTTTTGGTCTCTAGAAATTTCACTAAAAAATTTATTTCGCCGAAAAAAAAGTTTGCGCGTGAAAAGTCGATCGTTCAAGCACAAGAGAATTTCATTACGAACATTTTAAAAAAAATTTGAAGTAAATCGGTTCAGTAGTTTTCCGCCAATCCATGTCACCGCAAAGTCATTTTTCAAGAAACACCATTTCGAGATATTCGCGTTTAAAGTTTCAAGTTCAGTTCAAGGCCGCAACGAGGCGTGCGATTAGGAGCGCTGTAACTTTTTTTCTACTGCTCCAATCTCTATGAAAATATGGGAGAATGTTCTCAAGGAGTTGTTCTTCAAGATAAACCACTAAAAAAATTTTCGTTTTTTTGAAAATAAAAAAGGTATATAACCCCTTAAGTTTATACAAAAGCTAGTTGATCGCAAGCCGACTCTCTCTCGGCCGCTCGACTCAACGGACTTTCTTTAGAGAGTTTTAGTCGGCAATGTCTAGGTCGGGCCGCCCTCTCCACTTTCGAGAGCTTTAGCTCGAGGTGACTTGTCGGGCCGCCCTCTCTGTGTATATTACTTTCGTCCCTGCATGCACCATAAGCTGGTCTATCTGCGGATCATCCAGTTTCATCTGCATGCTGAAATAAACATTTATAACGTCATATTAAATACAAATTCGTCTTTATTTACGGCATTGCAAACGCTCAATGTCATTGGTGACCCCGACGTGATATAGTTAGTATAATTAACTAAATTATTAACTATAATTTACTAAAGCTATAGAAACTAAAACTATTCCCGCGAAAACATATGTGGTGCAGATTAAAAATTACATGAACGGTTTTAGTGCTAATAAGCAATCGGGTTTATATAAAATAATAAACAAATTCAAATTAAGAACAAAACATAAACCTAACGGCAGTTCAGTTGTGGCCCGGTAAATTATTTATTATTGGCACACATACATATTTACGTTCCACAATGCAAGTGCATTTGCCCGCGCATAGACTTCATATATATATACGTTCCACCATTCCGCTACGGTCCTGAACGCACAGTGGGACAAGTCGTGTTCGTCGCGAGCAAATAAATTTGGAGCGATAAAATTTGGCGCCGGAATTATTTACTTCGGGCTGGTCGGAACTTAATAAATCAACCATGAACTCCAGCGGCGCAGACAAAGGAGCACCCACTCCAACCCGTAGTGCTATTCTAAAGTGCAAGGCCCTGGGTATTCTCCAGGACTTGAAGAGGATACAAAGAGCTCCTCAGCCTGTTTCCAAGGTGGACGATGCCATGCTCAACGTGCGTCTTGGTCAGATAGTCGCCATTTTCAGCGACTTCAAGGCCATCCACGGGGAGCTTGAGGATTTGGACATTTCGCAGATCAGTAGTGAGCCCTGATGGACTGTCTCGGAGCTGGTAGCGACAATGCAGGCCGAAATTAAGCACGGGATGACCCTTCGCTCTCCACCCTAGCTAACGGAATGTCCACCATGCAGGTTGACTCGGGGTCAGGTCAAAGGTTTCAAGCTTTGCCTCCCTTGCCTTTTCCTACCTTCAGCGGTAGATACTCTGAATGGCCTGAGTTTTACTCGATTTTCTGTACAATCGTCGGCGGTAATCCGAGCATCAATAAGGTGGAAAAGCTGCAAAGGTTGCGATCTTGCCTTCGCGAGTCCGCTTTCGAAGCAGTTCGCTCCTTGGAAGTCTCCGATGAGAATTATGATGCCGCGCTGAATTTGTTAGAGAAACGATTTAATAGCCGTCGTTTGATATTTCAGGCTCATGTGAACGAGATTCTTGGCCTCACTCTAGTGGGAGGCGATTCAATAACACGTCTTCGATGGTTATCCGACAAATTCAATGCCCTTATGAGAACCTTCAAGAATTTGGGTTCGACAAATGAGATAGCCGGCTGCATCATTGTCCTGGTGCTTCTTCAACGGTTGGACCCAGCTACTCAAGTTAAGTGGGAGGAGAGTCTAAATTCTTCAAGTTCCGACGCAATTCCTACTTGGAAGTCGCTGGCAGAGTTTCTGGAGCAGCGATGCAGGACTTTGGAGGCTATGGATGTGGCCGCTGGCCAGAGCTATGGAGCTGATCCCTCTTCGGGTTGGAGTGCTTCGCTGGGAGCGGATTAAGCTGTACCTCGCCCCTTACGAATGTAGTTGGAGGACAGGCCCCAACGGAGGGGGGAATGTCGGGTCAGGCAGCAGCCCACCGGTGTAATTTTAATATTTAAATATGTTAGCGTAATGTTTAGTAATGTTTATTTATTAGGCTTAAGTTTATACAAAAGGTAGTTGATCGCAAGCCGACTCTCTCTCGGCCGCTCGACTCAACGGACTTTCTTTAGAGAGTTTTAGCTCGGCAATGTCTAGGTCGGGCCGCCCTCTCCACTTTCGAGAGCTTTAGCTCGAGGTGACTTGTCGGGCCGCCCTCTCTGTGTATATTACTTTCGTCCCTGCATGCACCATAAGCTGGTCAGAAATAAACAGAAATCAAGCAGAAATAAACATTTATAACGTCATATTATATACAAATTCGTCTTTATTTACGGCATTGAAA